AGAATGTGACGTCACATGTCACATTCCTTGAACAACAGTGTAAACCAGATATAATCTATGTACAATGTACAAAATATGTAGAAGCACACAAAACTGAAAGGTGCCAAAACAAACCAAACACTATAATATTTGTCCCCGGGGGAGGGAGAGAGGGGGGGGGGCGTCAGAAGAGACACAACACAACACAACACACGCAAAAATCGGTCTCGTTGTTTGGGAATGGGTAATGGGTGTGGCACCCAAATGAATGAGTATGAATGCACGGAAAGTCGTAAAAGTGGGTCTCAAATCAGAAAATTAAACTTGTGTACGCACTATGTACAATTGCACGAGAAAGCGGAAAGGAAAAAGGGGGCTGGGACTAGAAAGTCGAACTCACTTGAACTCCGATGACATCGTCATCTCCTTCCTCTCCTTCAGAACTCATTTTACACTCGAAAACAAAACCTAAGAATCAGCTGTGCGTCGTCCGTCTGTGTTTGTCAGTCAGCTGGGCGGGGCGGGGCCGGGAGAGAGAGAGAGACGGGGCCGGCTCAGCTGAGCCGCCGCCGCTCATTCCACCTCGGGTGCCGTTCGGCAACAGTCACCCGAGCGCGCTCGGCCGCTGCGCTGCGGTAGCAGTGGAGGTGGAGGCAGGCGGCGGCACCGCTACCTACCCCACCTCACACCACCGGCCAACAACCGAGCCGACGCGCTCGCTCATTCCAGGGCTCTGCTTTCCTCCACTCTGATTTGGAGACATTGAGCATTGGATTCAGAGTCCATTTTCCAGTTATTTTCTGGGTCGTGTTCCTCTTCTATCATCCCGCACCAGGTAAATTTCTTTTCTTCTGTTTTCTTTGCCAGTTCCAAAGCTTTTCTTGCTGCTTCTGCTTTTGCTTCCTCTGATTTTTCTTTTATCTTTTGCAGGTGATGTTTGATTTCGTAGAAGTTGGTTTTCTCTTGAAGTTTCAACTCTAATTCCAACTCGTCCCAGATGGGGATTTCCATCTCTATGATATCTTCCTCCACTTGTTCTGCTTTTCTGCTTCTGCTTCTCAACTACTTCAGTTTCTCCTTCATCTCGTTGATCTTGGGTTTTAACACTTCACTTCTTCTTTGCTTCTTCCCCCCTCAAAACTGCGAATTTCTCTCTTTTTCTCTTCTCTTCCTTCTCCATTTCTTCACTGGTGAGGGTTTTCTACCATGAATATTGGCTTCTATCAGGAATCTTGGTGGACTTTTCCTTTTCTGGTCTTCCCCGTTTGGCCTTCAGGCATCTTGCCTTGATTTCTTCCACTTGTAGTGATGAGAAGACCCTTTCCAAGGGTGAGACAGGAGTCTTTACTTTCGGAATTTTGAAAGCCTCCATTCTTCTGCTTCTCATGACACTCGAGCACACTTCAATTTCAGTCACAACACCAAAACACACTCTCTTGAACACAGCACACACTTACAGACACTTCACTGGCACTTCACTGACACTTTTAACACTTCAGAATACTGCACTTGGTCTCACAGAACTCTTGAAAACTCCTCCTCACAAATGCACTTAACTCAGGGGAATAGTTTGGGGCTTGCTGCTTCACGTACGTCTGCTCTCCACGGCTTTCAGCTCACAAGTGACGCTCAGGCCCTTGTCTGTTCACCCGGTGCATTGTTGTATTGTTGCCGACGTTCAAAACTTCGGCGCCGTCTCACTGGCTGGCTGTGTGTCCGTCGTGTATAGCGCGTCGCCCGCAACCTTACTTCGGCGATCGTCTTTTGTTTTCACGCAAAGGTTAGCCAGGTCGCTGATACACTGTACTCCCGCTCGTATTCTCTGGAGCGAAGGCGGCTAGCCTATCAATGTGGATGATTTGTTTACGTCCAGTTTGATCGTCTCTGATCCTGGCATTACAACCATTGATTATTTTCAGGATTGTATATGGTCGAACCCAGGGTGAGTTAAGTTTTGGCTAGATGCCTTTTATTCTGTCTGGCTTATAGAGGAAAACTTTGTCTCCCTCTTTAAAAGGCGAAATCAGCGCCGTTCTATAATAGTAGAGTTTCATTCTTTTTGCCGCTTTGTTTTGCATTTCTCTCACTATTTGGTGGATTTTATCCAGAGTTTCATGAACCCAGTACAGATAATCATCTTTTAACCTCTTTGATACTGGAGGCGCTTCGGTTTCCATCATGAGTGGGGTTCTCATCGGAGATCCGAACATAACCTCATATGGCGAGAAGCCAGTGGAACTTTGAGGTAAACTTCTGTATGCTTGCATCACAAAAAGTACATACTCCGGCCAACTTGCTTGATCATCATTGACTAGCATTGCCAAATTTTCTTTTAATACTCTTATCTATCTTTCTGCTTTGCCATTTGCAGCTGGATGTCTTGCTGGTATTTTGTATTTCTTTATGTTATACAGGTTCATTACTTCTTGGACTAATTCTGACTGGAAATTTGTTCCTTGGTCTGTTAGTATTGCCAAAGGAGACCTATAAACTGAGAACACATTCGAAATCAGTGCCTTGGCTGTTTCTTCTGCAGTTTGTGTTTTTAGTGGTACTGCAACGGGCCATCCAGACATGGACTCAACTGCGACCAAAGCATATTTACATCCATCAATGCTTTTTGGAGTGGTAGGCAGAGATCTTAATGCCATCTTCCACGCAAGACTCCATCTTTAAATATTTTCATGGGTTGTTTTGTAACCAATTTGGGTCCTTTAAATCTTGCACAAGTGTTACATCTTGTCATGAATTTTGAAATGTCAAAATGCATTCCAGGCCACCAACAGAATCTCTGAAGGTGAGCCGTGGTTTTTCTTATGCCAAAATGATTGACTTCTCCGATTTGCTCGTGATAATATTTAATTGTGTTTATCACATGTTTTTCTGGGAGTATTAATTGTAATTGATCTTTTTCAGGAATATCATTTGGGTCTTCAAATCTTCTATAGAGGACTTCATTTTTAATTACTAGTGACTTGAATTGATGCCATAGGAAGTGATCTGGTTTTATTACTGCAACCAGAAATTTCTTGGAAATGTGGTTTTTCTCCTTCTTCCACTGCCGTGAAGATTTGGGTGATCTCTGGGTCTGTCATCTGATCAATTTTCCATTTTCTCTGATATTGCCCGGCACCAAGGCACTGATAAGCACAAGGGCGACATGAAGGCTGCCAGCAAGGGAACCACCAATGCATTGGCGTCGTTTTTGTCCGGCAAAAAAGACCCTTTGGAGGAACAAAGAAAATATGCAGAGGTGAATGTCGCGGCCTATAATGAAGCTTTTCTAAAAATTGAATCACTTAACAGAAGTCTTCAAGGATATTTTTCCAGACTCCAAAACTGCCCAGGGAATTACTCTGAAGAGAACAAAGGGAAACGGGATAGTCATAAATGTTTTGGGGAAAGAACACCAAGAAATCATAACTGCTAAACTAAGAAAATATAAGTTTTCAATTCTGACAGATGTATCTACTGATGTCTCTTTAGTGAAAAATTCATGTGTCCTAGTAATAATCTATGATGACGAGGAAGGGGCAATAGTAACTGATTACTGGGATCTTCACCAAATCTTTTCTGATAAGGATCCCGACGGGGCAGAAGAGGGCGCCTCCGCCTGGAGAATATTCGGGCTTCTAAAGGCATCGTTTGACAAGCAGCAAGTGCCCTGGACAAATGTCATTGGATATGCGGCGGACGGTGCTTCTGTGCTGATGGGGTCCAAGAATTCAGTGATGACGAGATTAAAAGATTTGTGTCCCGGGATTAAAGTATCAAAATGTATATGCCATTATTTGCACCTGTGTGCGAGTGAAGCATGTAAACAATTGCCCCGCTCCGCCGAGGATCTGGCTCGGAATATATAACTTCTTCCATAACAGCTCCAAGCGCCCAGCCCAGTTTGCTGAATTTCAGACATTTCTTCACCTAGATGTACTGCGAATGCTCCATCCCAGCCAGACGCGTTGGCTTTCCCTTACGGCAGTCGTTGACAGAATTTTGAAACAATGGGACGCGTTGCGACTCTACTTTGATACGAAGTGGCTTGAAGAAAGATTGGAAACAGCAGAAAGAATTCACACTATGCTTAATGATAAATTCACTAAGATGTATTATCTTTTTCTTGATTGGATGTTGCCCAAGGTGACAGGCTTAGATGAGTATTTCCAGTCCTCTATCAAGGGAACCTTTTCAGGTGTAAATCTCCGATTTCGCTGAAACTTGGAAAATTTGAAGGTTATTTATGTAGAAATCGGATGGCACTTGAAATTTTTCCTAAACCTGACATTTAGTTTTCCAATATATAAGGTAGGAGAAAGGTGTTAGAAAAAAATATTTTTTTAAAAAATGTAAAGCAGTGTTCTAAGGGGTAACTCGTCGAAGATGTGCTCTTTGGGCGAAAATTTTGTCCGTTTTGCTCTATTTTGAACCGTTAAAGCGGTAGAGGGATATTTGGAGCAAAAAACAGTCTCAGGCTTAAGTAAACCCCTAGTAGATGTTAATTTTAGAAAAAATTCCAAGTTCCATCCGACTTCTATTATACTAACCTTTAAATTTTCCGAGTCCCAATGAAATCGGAGATTTACACCTGAAAAGGTTCCCTTTAAGCCAGTATTACCTTTTGTTCGTGAAAAAATGACAGAAACTTTCAAGGAAATACTGACATGCTTCATGAGGAGAGTTAATGTGTGCATGACTCCCCCCCCCCCCACAATATTCAGCCCATGGACACCTCCAAATGGTTGCCATTGAATGACAATAATGGCTAAACGATTAGCGAAGCCTATTACTCAAGTGATGATCAAAAAGTTTCGCGTCTGTCTGTCTGTGCGCACGATAATTCGAGAACGAATTGAGCTAGCGACCTGGGATTTTCAGGGTCGTTTTGTGTCATAAAAAGACAGATCAAGTTGGAAGAAGAGCATTCTAGCTCGAAAATTGGATTTTTAAAAAATTCAAAAACCACAAGTTCCCAAAATAATTTTTTTTTAAAAAAAAAAAAAAATTATTGTCTTCTAAGGGGTAACTCATCAAAGTAGGATCTTTGGGACGAAAATTTCGTCCATTTGGCTCTATCTTCAACCGTTTAGGCACCAGAGGGAGTTTTCTACACGGAAATGACCGCAAAACATTTTTATTTTTTTGTTCTCAGATATTTGGTGGTCTCCGGTACGGTAATTTGTTAAAATAAAACCCCGAGGAACCAAATTTGTGACTTTTGGGGCCGAATGCCTACTCACGACTTTGGCCCGACTCGGGTCTCAGCGCCGCAGGCCTAGGTAGATGTATGCCAGGTGCGTCGCAGCGTATCAGTGTTTCGTTAGATATCGCGAAGCCTGTTACGCGAGACGTGCTCTGGCGTACATCTACCTAGTTTATTTTTGAGTCGGTGTTGCAGAGATGTTACACTTGCCTGAAGTGAGGGCGAACACTGCAAGAGTGCAAGACTTCAAGACCAGGGCACGTCTATTCATGGCCACTTTCTGCAATGAAATGCAAAAGAGATGCGTATTGCATTCGATTTTACTTTAGTAATGAAGCACCCGTCATGCTATTCTAATAACCTTACTTTTACTTTCAGATATGACTTTAATGACCCCGTGCTCAGCCGCGTTAGCAGCTTAGCGCCCGCAATAGCATTGTCTCAGCGGGCAAGGGAGACTACACCCTCACTGAGGACTTGGGCGCTTCTCCTCCCGCGCATTGTAGACAAAAATGACAAGGAAAAGCTGCAGGACTTGGATGACCAATGGCGGGCATTACCCTTTGCTGCGGAAAAACTCCCTCAAGAGGTCAGGGAGTGTAAAGACGCAGCTGTATTCTGGCATCAGGTAGGCGGCCTCATCAGGTGGTGGTGTCATTTATTTCTCGTTTATTTTTTGTGAAGTCATATGTGACACTTTTTGTGCCCTTAGATGTACATACACGAAAATGAAATCGGGGAACGACCATATGCTACCCTTGCTAAGTCTGCTCTTGAGGTGCTGTCCGTACCAATTCCAAATGCAGACTGTGAACGAAAATTCTCTAAGATTAATGACATAAAAACCAAAAAGAGAAACAAGTTGTTAACAAAGTCTATTAATGGTACTTTACATGCTGACGCACTTGTCCACTCGGGTGGTCGCTGCTGCAAAGATTTCAAACCAACTAAGTCTATGTACAGTAAAATGCTGTCAGCAAATCTTTATGATTTTTCTCAATGTGTAGAACTAAACGGTGGAGAAAGTGACGGATCGGGTTCGGCCTGGTTCCTTTTTTATGTTACTCAGTCAATTGGTTAGAAGTTTGATTTTTTATTTTGACAATGTTCAGTGTGCCATAACTAGACAACTAAATAAATATAATTTTTATTTGTTTTGAAGCATACATCATTTTGTTCTGTTGTTAAAGTCATAGCGAGAATAGAGATTGATTGCTACCTACTACTGGTTTACAATTGTATCCGATTCGCGCCGACCGCCCTGACAGGCTGCCTAACCCGGCCTATCATCTGAAAGAACAACTCATGGTCTTCCCCTCTTCTCGTTGACTGTTTTATGAATTTATCAGGCTGTTTGGGGACGGAAATTCACCTCAGTAGACGTAATAAGGCATTAAACATCTCAATTTAGTGGTTTTTAATAATTTTAGGTGCATTTTCAAAATTCCCGCTTTTTGAATCGAAACCCCGCCTTTCGATCCCTCGGCTCCGCCTTCTCGAGGCTCGAAATTGGTAACACTGGGAAGCATTTGTGAAAATATTGACTATGAAGGACATAAACCTGATATACAATACGTAGGCAGTGGAAAAAGGAAAAACTCCAAATAGTCATTTAATTTAGTCCACTGGGGACTGTAAAGTAACCTTAAAGTGTTTTTACGTTGGTACTCATGGTGCTATATTTACGTCGGTGAGAAAATCGGATCGTCTCCGAAAACATAGTTGCTGAACAATTGGTTGGAGCGAGAGAGATAACGCACAGGTCATTGTTTCAAACACGTCCCTCTCGAAAAAGTATGCACATCATAGCAGAAGAGAGCGAGTTTGGTCTAAAACACAAACAATGTTTAAAAAAGTTGTTCTCCAGCAGAAATTAAGAAAGAAATGGAAATAAAATCAATTATGTGAAGATCTTGATTTTATTCATGTATATATGATGTCTTCCAAGAAGTGGAGAATTTAAATGGCTTCAGTTTAGATTTGTTTCATTTTCCTCAGTCATTTAACGGTAGTGTTTCTGATTTTCTGTATCGGGTTAGGTTTTGTAAGTTTAGGTTTCTTTCATTTTTCTCAGTCATTTAACAGTAACGTTTCTGATTTTCTGTATCGGGTTAGGTTTTGTTAGTTTAGGTTTGCTTCATTTTCCTCAGTCATATAACAGTAACGTTTCTGAT